AAAATAAAAATAAAAAAACATCCATCACTCAGTTACTCCACTGAAGGTCACAAAAGTGTAATGATCAGATAATAAATGTATTACAAGTGTGCACAAATGTGACAGTAAGCGTGCTGTGGTGGTATGACAGAGGTGTGTGTTTGAAAGGGAAGTAAAGTAAATTTCAGTTCACTAGTAGCCCCCCCTCCCCACTATTGAACCACACACACACACAGCTGTCACTCCTAATAGTAGAATAAATACAGGAGATTTGAACACTATAGGCTACTATACTATACTACAAACTCAGTTACTAAGTTAAACAGAACTATTTCTAAGTCTAGATTGGATTTTTATAGTAATTTTCTACCAAAAAAATCATGCAAACTCAAAGTCTTTAATAAGCTATATAACCACAGTCGGTGGTGTACAGCTTCCTGACCTATTTCTGTTCTTTGTTTCCTTTTGTTATTGCATAATTAAAACAAGTTATCATGGGTATATAGGTATACAATATAGGAGTTGGATGTATGTATATTCACACTTGCACATCCATTATTACAACTATGGCACTTATAGGTCTGACTCATACTTTCAAAGGTGTCCAGCCATCTTGGTTGTGCAACATAACTTTGACCTTGTATTGCGTATTAACTAGATATTGTGTTCACTCATTTGCAGTGTGTGACAGCTGTATTTGTCTGTTTTTAACTATGTTAATGCTGCCTTATGGCCAGATAAATCTAGAAAAGAAGATTTCAATCTCAATAAGACTTTTGCCTGGCTAAATAGAATAAAATGAGAAAGAGACAGATGCATTATAACTTGTCTGAATGTCTCTGTGTTAGCCCACGTCTTGGCAGACTTGCTGTCACTGGCCACAACATCCATTCCCCTATAACTGTGTCTAATATTAGCTTGTCCTTCAGTCACTCTTGTGACCATGTCCCAAAAGAGCAGCCTACAGGATCAAATCTAATTTAACTGATCTTCAGTGACTTTTAAACAGCATGGGCTACTTCGTGATGAACAAGCACTTTAATGGATTTCAGGGCTTCTGTCCCCAAATAACAGAACATGAGGGCAAGCGGTTAAGTACAGTATAAGGCAGTTTGTTTTCTCCAGAATCACTCAACCACTGCAAATGTAGGTAATAGGAGTTCTAATGGGTCTGTTTGGTCAATGAATGCCAAGGATACTCCCCGTGGTGGAATGTTACATGTTCTCCTTAATCTTTGACCAAGCTTGTCATTTTATACCGCCTGCCACACCTGTATTGGTCAAGGGAGAAACCAGATAACAAACACAAACTCTTGAATTGTTAATATACAAACACATTTGGTAACTTTTACTGTAGTAATTCATATGACATTTACATTTATATATGGCTGGCTGGCACAAACATTAGAGAATAAGAAATAAGATGAAAAAATGCAAATAGAGATTTGGTTGTTTTGTTGTTGATTGTGCTTGTCTTCTATTTGTTTGTGAAATGCAGTAGTAATGTGTCATTGCTCCAGAACTCATCCCAGCTCCTTCTGTACTTCTCCAGGTGCAGTGCATCAGGCTGTGTGGGCGATGCAATTTAAATGCAAATTCTCAGCCATGGACAAGGACCTGCTCAAGGCCTTGATGCTGCATCGATTCACAAAGCGAATCTTTCTGTGGTGCCAAATACTACCAGGCGTTTACATAAACCTTTACAGTTGCTGCTGTAACTGTACCATGATACTATGTATTTGCACATGGTGTGTCAGCAGTGTAAACAAAAGAAGCTGCAGTAAAGTGAAAATACCTGCAGGTATTAGATTTCATTAATTGATTTAAAGTTGTGTCAGATTGTGTGTCTGTGTGTTAAATCAGTGTAATCAGCTCCTAAAGAGAAGCTATACAAAGACTAATTAGCAAGACTCCTATACCAGATCTCAATATCTGAGTTTGTTGGATCCTAATGTGAGCTACATAATTACAATAATTAGGTTCATCTTATCTACTCAATATCTAATCATCTACATGATTCATGATAAACAAAAACACTTTAATATTATTACCAACTGTACTGTATTGGTACTGGTGGTGTCACTGCTCATAAATGTTGAGTTAATAAAAATAGATCTCAGAACGGTCACTCAGATAATTTGGAATTATAGTCAAGCTAAATGTTCATTTCAGACAGACACTGATTTTCATTTCAGATTGTGTCTCATAAATTAATTCTTCACATTAATGTTCTTAATTCAGGGATTCAATATGAGTAAGGCAAATTCAAACAAATCAAAATTTAAATAATTAAAATATAATCTTTGCTGGCAATAATCAAAGTTATCCACCAACTTTAACTCTTTAAGAGAGACAGAACTGCTTTTAAAAACTCTCTGCACCTGTATGTCAAGGTCAGAGATGAATTGAGTACAAAAAGAGGTGTGTATGCATGCCTGTGTGCATATGTGTGTGTGTGTGTGTTGTGTGTGTGTGTGCGTGTCTATGCATGACTGAAATGTCTCCTAGCAGCATGAAAGAGCCCCTCCCATGGTTCTGCAAAATAAGGTAATGCCCAAAGCAAGTGTGGGTGTGTAACTTCTATTTCATCACACCACCAGTCAAATACTACATAAGGTAAACACAGGCCTATTTAGGCAGTGTATGCTGCCTTTCTTTTCTTGCTTACTCTTACACATATGATGACTCACAGAGGCACCATACAGCAATGTGACGGCTGAAACTGGAGCCTGCTTTTGTCTGCAGGTCTTCACCAGAGCCATCTTTCACCATTATACAGAGGTATAGCTTGTGGATCGAGTTTCACCATAGTTTTTATTATAGTAGCTCAGCTGGGACTTGTCTTTAGCGCACAAAAACTGTTGTAGTCTGTGTAAAGCCAGCACTCCCCTATGGATTTACAAGTGTATTCTAAGCATTCGAGAAGGAGACATCCCTTTAAACTAAACACAAGTCACAGTGGTAGCAACACTGTCGTTATGTACTAAAAACAGTTGAGCTGTGGAGGCTCTTCTGTAGGCTTGTCTTATCTCCTGCTCCACCTTTGTATTGCCACAATAGCAGGATGGATGGAATTGGCACGCAGTGCCATTGTGTAGATTTCTGTTGCATTGCAACGCAATGGTAAACAGCTACCTGACACGCTTAACCTCCAACCCAAAGGTTGTCTGACTAATGGTGAGTGCTAGAGTTAGAGAGAGGAAACTTAAGTAAGAGGAAGACATGTTGTGTCTTTTCAGGTTTACAAAACTGTTAGCTGATCCTTAAGGCCAGAATACTGAACCCTACACCATGACCAGACACCTCCGGACATGGTGACAGATCTAAAAACACTCTGGTCAAGAGCTATTTAACAGCTATTCCTTTCCAGCTTGTCTAGACTGATTATTTGTGTGTGTATTTTTCATGTGATTTGAATGTGTCATATGTATTGTGTGTATTTCAGATGTGTACCTACAGATAGCTGGCTTTTAGGGAGCTGATTAGTTCTGGTATTTTGGACAATTTAAATAACTGATTTGCATGTTTATGAGAATAGAAAAAGACATAGTACTGAATGGTTTCGAATTAGATAAATATGCACTGCAACTGTGGACACCTATATTGAGATTATTACTGTGGTGCAGCCGTTCAAATTCAATATGAAATTTCAATAGTTGACAATTACATATTGTGGGCTGTTGATAAATTGCTTGCATTAATGAACCCTGCACTGGAGGGCTGCAGGCACAGTTAAGTGGCCTCCCTTATTAAAAAGGGAGGAAGGAAGTGAGAGCAAGAGCGAGAGAGAGAGAGAGAATGTGAGGAGAAGGAGGTATTGAAAATCATTTTAACAAAAGATTGTGGGAAAAGACAAAGAGATTAGTTTAGATAATAATTTGTCATAGAGAGAGTAACCAGAGATATTATTTGAAATATGTGGATTTTGGTATTACTGCGCTGATCTAGACAAAAATTACCTCAACGTTTTAAAAACTTTGTTGAAAACAGTAACTCCTGTGTATTGGCTATATGAAGCAGCTATAAAATATCCAACAAACTCAAAGAAAACAGTCACAGAGAACTGCTTATGTCCCCTGACCTTTGTGACCACAGTTACATTTGTTATTGTAATGGCTGTATTGATCAGGCGATATATTGACAGAATGCTCAGATTCTGGCCCCACTTGTAAGGACAGGGTTTCCATTTATAAATGCATTAACTCATATTCCCTTACTCATTGTGAATCCTCCAAGGAGAAACATTTGGCTTCATATTTACTAATTCACAGCTTATGAATCAGTCTAAGGCCATTAAACCTCCTGGCATTCTGCATCGCACCCAACAAAGTGTCACGATAATTTGATGATCTGATACAGCAGAGTAATGCGGGATTGATGTATCATTTTGTCGCTTAAGAGAAGTTCATCTATCATATTGGGATGACATTAAAATAAATGTGTTGTTATAAACAGCATGCTAAACAGAAGAGTGAGCAGAGTAAGTAACTGGCTGTTTCCAGCACCTCTTTAAGACAAATTTGTGTATTTACTGATCTGATGCATGTGTTAAATTACTGAGATTGCTTTGTGTGTCCATGTGTGTCTAGTCATTTCATTTAGCCAAGAGTGAAGGGGTAAATATCATCAGGTTGAGTTCGACCAAGGAGAGTACAGCTTCCCAGTGGCAACTGAGCATTTTCAAAATAGGGCCCAGTCCTACTCAGTCAATGGCAATTAATGAAAAAGGCTAGAGAGAGAGAGAGAGGTTTTGCCCTTTGTCCTTTGCCCTTTGTTAAACTGCTTTTCATTTTAGCAATATGAGTGAATATCATAATATGAATAAGAGATAATGTAAGGGATATAGGAAACTTGAATCTACAAATTGATTACATTTTATTGATGTCAAAGGTGGAGATAAACTATTCTGACATTCCTGGCATTTCTTAAAGGACCCAAGTGGTATTTGGACTCAGTTTAAGGGTCACATATGTGTAGCTATGAATCTATCTATCTTTATTTTATTCATAACCTCATTAACATTGATGCACGGTCACATCAAGCTGCACTTTTACTGGATGTGACAAGTTCCTGCAACCTGCAGTCTTCTATGATACGTACCCAGCAGCTCAACTGCTTTTCCTTTCACATTATGCATTCAGTCCAGCAAATAAGTATTCAAGGCAACAATTACAGCTGGCACACTGTCATTTAGTTCTGATACATTTTTATGCTGGAGCTCTGTCAAAGCATGCATGACTGACATCAAAGACTCCCTACTTCCCCCATTCAATTCAGTTATATTATTTAAATGAACGTTTTTTTAATCAGAAATAGAAGCAGCCGAAGATATTCTCAAGGGGTGTATATTTAAAAACCTATACACTGTAGTTTATTTCTTCAAGCCATATGGAGATATTAAATATTCTATATGTGAACCTGTGATATACCACCAGCTTCTAATCATACTTATTAATGTGTAAAAATACTATACAAATACTATATTTATAGGGGCCATTTATGTTGTCACCATCTTTACCATACAGTTTGTGTGTATGTGTGTGAGTCAGTTTGTTCACTTTTTTTATTCTGACTTTACTTTGTTGTCAATAACACCAAATTGGACTGATTTAGATTAATGTGCTTTTAGGGAACGGTTGTTTTATTATTTATTATTATATATTATTATTTAGTTGTTGTATTATTATTTTGTTTTTTTCATCATATTAATAGCTGTATGCCCTTTAATGCTGACCAATTTAAGATCCATACAGTAGGCCTATTTAATAATAATTATAATAATAAACTTTATTTCGGTTATAATTACAAGGTGCTGTACAGTGCAAACACTAGAAAAATAATATAAAACAATAAAACTACAAACATTAAGAGTATAAAACAAGAAAAATAAATATAAAAACACAAAAACTGCAAACATTAAAGCATATAAAAGTAGCTTTTTTAAAGTTATCAACCGGGTGGGAGCCACAAATGCAAAAGCTTTGTTCAACGCGCAAGGCTGAAAGCAAGGAACGACGCTTTCAAGTCTGGTGACATGGTGGCACTGAAAACATCTAGAGCCAACCTGAACCGAGCTATAAGATTAGCATCATGGACAAAAAGTACAGGATTTCTTCAATGACCCCACTAACCCCAGACGGATGTGGCAGGGCATCCAAGCCATTACAGACTACAAGGCCCCACCCTCTTCCTGTGAGAACACCAGCTTCCTCAATGAGCTAAACAAGTACTTTGGAGGTTTCGAGTAACTAAAACACCCACCACAGCAACAAAAATCCTATCCTCGTCCAGATGATGCGACAAAGCTTTGGACCACAGCTGACTGTCCAGGGAGAACCCTGGAGGAAGCGTTTTCTCGGACATCAGGGCCGGAAAGCAGCTGGCCCTGGATAACATACCAGGAAAGGTGCTCAAGGAATGTGCTGACCAGCTGGCTGGCGGTTCTCACAGACATTTTTTAACATCTCACTGCACCAGCTGTAGTACCATTCCTGCTTCAAAGACTGCCACGATTGTACCGACCCAAGAAGAACACAACCCTCCTCCCTCAATGACTACCGGCCAGTAGCACTCACACCTATCATGATGAAGTGGGGCTTCGAATGAGGCTAGTAAAAGGACCACATGGTTTTCCAGACTTTTTTTATAACTGTTTTTTTAAATATAAAAAGTTTTATATATGCATAATCTATTTATTTATTTTTTTTGACTTACATACTGGCCTCTCCTCTATTCCTGTTGTGCAATGTGTCATTGTAACATAATTCTTTTGATGCAAATCCAAATGACAAATAAAGGTCTGTCTAAGTCTTAAATTAAGTGTACTGAAAACCCCCATTAATGATGAGGCTCTTGTGGTAAATAAAAAAAAAAATCATTGTATCTAATTGATAACATGACATAAAAAGGGTTGAAATGGGGACAGTGCACTTACTAACTTACTACCTACACAGGTCACCACCACCCCAGCAGCAGCGAGCAGCAGCGGTTTGGTGGGTGGTGGGACTGGAGCCCGGTGTGAACTGCATGGAAGGCGGGCTGCTGAAGCTGGTTGCCCCACCTCCTCCCCCTCTGTTGCCCCACCTCCTTTCCCTCTGTTGCCCCACGCTCCTCCCCTCTGTTGCCCCACCTTCCTCCCCTCTGTCGCTTGCCTGCACGGGTTGTTGGTGAACACGGGGAAACAGCTCTCCATCTCTGCAGACCCCAAGAGTAGTGGGGAAAAAAAAAAAAAGACGTACCCCTGAAACCCGCCGAAGACACTATCATTTCGCACCGACTGGCCGGTTTTGTGTTGCCGCTAATGTGAGTAAACCAGTGTCGTTTTGTATATGTTGTTCGTTGCTACGATTTTTCTCCCTGACGGAAAGCAAGAAATAGCAGCTCGTTAGCTTGCTTACAGGCTGGCGTTGCTTGCCCCTACGAAAATTTTCTCCGACTCACATTGAAAGCAAACAAGAGATGGTACAAATCAGGGCTGGGTTTGTTGAGAGTAATGGTCTTAATGGTTTTGCGGCTAACTGAGCAGCTAAACCCGCTGATATTTACTGCAGGTTGTCAGTGAGGTCAAACTTTTACGGCAAAAACAAAAACATTTGGGGTCGCTGTTGCTGGAGTAAACTTTGGGGGGGGTTCGTGTTTCTGCTCTGTCGTGTCAAACATAACACACACATTGTTGACCTTAATGTTTTTTCACCTCTACATTATTTGTTATTTACTTATCTAGCTGGTTTGTTGACATGGTTGGTGGGCAAAGACTCACCGGTGAGCGTTCTTATAAACCACCGCCCCCATTTGTCAAAAGTCATGTTTTGTGAAAGGGTTTTTCGATAACTTCGACAGCTGGGATGATACAACCGGAGATAAAATGGTGAACAGTAAGCTCTTCCTTTTCTGTTAGGAAAAACTCTTTAGAAACTTTCCTCCACTTTACTGGATCCTTTGGTGTTCAACCTTTTTTTGGAAATGTTCAGACCAAAACTGAGGCTGGCTAGGTCTTGTTGGTGGCCACCCCCCCCCCCCCCCCCCCCCTTTATACAAGTGATAATGTTGGTTTACCAATTTGTTGTCAAAGTTGGTCTTAACCAACTTGGATATTCCAGCTGGGCAGTGAGAAATGCCTTACTGTCTATGAGTCAACACACTGTCCACGTGTTTGGAGTATCAAGTGTATTTGGTTTTATTCTGAAAACCGGTTCAGGTAATAAAGCCCAAAACAGGTGGATTAAAGTAACTTTCTACAGTCTTTACGTAAAAACTTTTGGGTGGAATTTTCATGAATGAATCAACAAGGAAAAGTTTACATTGGCAAGTCACAAGACCTGTCTAAAGATCTACATCCTATCTTTAAGCACCCCCCGTTCAGACTGCAGGCAAAAGTGGCCCAAATCTGAATTTTGGGGTCAAGTGACCCTGTCATGACTTTCAGAAGGGTAGTGGTGAACACTCAAATCCAGGCCCAGATCTGATTTTTTCAAATCAGATTTAGGCCACTTCCGTATGTGGTCCTGAATCAGACCCAGGGTCAGATTCTTGTTCAGTCGGCCGCAGTGTGAACAACCAAGCGGATTTGATGCACCTTTTACGGTCAATCTACATCGACATGTGTCACAATTATGCGTCCATTCCCACCACTCCTGGGCTTCGTCTCCGCATCCACACAGACCTCTGTAGTGAATTTTGCAGCCATAACCCAGCAAAAGGCCAAAATGCCAAATTTGGTCTCTCTTCTCTTCATTTCTTCTCCTCCTCAGCACCTGCTCATTAATGTTACGGCTGCCATTACACAAACATTTTGAAATGAAAGCGATAATGCTCACTTCCTCCGTAACCTCCCCAACTTTAGTGCTGCGTCTGACGTCATTGTTATTGTTCTTTTCAGTTCACACTGGAATCTCATATAAGCCACATTGTAAAAGGTAATGTGAACAGCCAAACCAAAAAATCAGAATTGAGCATTAAGACTTGCGATGTGAACGTAGCCAAAGTTTCCAAACAGTTTTCCTGATATGCTGAAGGTAGAAGGTAGACGCCTGGTACTCCTGACAATAACCCCCGCTCTCTGTTTTCTGTTTTCCGCTCAGAGGCAGACAACATCCCCGAGCAACAGAGGAGCTGCAAAGTTTAGCGTCTTAAAACTGCCAAGTTTACTATTGTTTGAGAGGAACGCCTTACTTGTTTCAACTGAGGGCATAAAACATCATTTTTAGTGCCCCCGGCCGCTGACCTGAAGTGCCAAGTAGTGTTAACACACAGCGCAAATACTTGTGTTTCTTGTGGGCAGCTCAGCATATCGCTGTCCGGTGGTGGATGTTGATGGTCAAGAGCAATATTGATTTACCAGGTCCCAGATCAGCCCCAGGCCCTGAGACATCCATATGCTAAACAAGGTCCATGCTTTATTCCATCAGGTAGGCAGCAGCATTGGATTAAAGATACAGTCCTGCTTGTCTGGGGTTTGATTTTGAGTTTGTAGCATTCAGAGATCTGATCAATTATTTAACAGCTATCTTGATAACAATGAATAAAAAACTACTCTCAAGAGACGGGACCCTGACAACTAACACATGTACTGTTGGATGATTATGGTGAGCTGTAAGCATTATTATTAGCACTTAAAAGGTTCCACTTTGCTTTAATGGGTTTAGAATAAAGTCGAGAAAAAGTGGACGCAAATGATTTGATGATAACTTGGTGTTATCGTCAAATCAGGGCACATTTCTTGGCAGCACCTTGACAAAGCTCTAACCAAGCAACCAACTATGAAAAAATATAATATGCTGTGTAATGTACCTTGCTAAGACCTCCGTGGATGGCCGAGAGCTCTCACACACTCAGATCTGTGCCTCAATATTGCTTGTTTTTTGTTGTTGTAACAGCATGAAATAGTCTCCCTAATCGATTGTCCATTGCACGTACGTGTTCCTGCACGTTTTTTAATGTAAGATATTGAAAAGAGAAGTCTCCACCAAAGGTAGAGGCTACCCCACACCTCTTTTCATTCAACCTGCACACGTTCACATTCCCGGCGTCCCCCTCTTGACCAGAAAGTTCTGAGAGTTTATGAGAACAAAGAGACCATCGGTGTGTATCGGCTATAAAAAAATTATTTTCTGTACAAGCTCCAAGCCCACCAACTGGGGATTTCACAGATCATGGGTAGCTCTTGATGATAAATGATACATTTCTACTCGAGTGACCCTGAAGGCCCAGGAAGACATTAATTACACTAGCCTATTATGCAGTCCTCAGCTGGCACTTTGGCATCAAACAGATCCATAAAAACAATTCTGCATTTTTGTGTTCGTCCCTCTGCCTCTTGTGCATTTCGACCCGTCTGGCACATGTGTTTACGTATTCTTTTATATTTTTTCAAGCTGATTCGATATAGGCTTCAGTAAATTCTGCCAAGCAGGTCGGCATTTGAGAAATTATTTAGAAATCACGATGGCCTCAGTTCTTTATTTTGTTATTTACAGATATGATTTGTTCATTTTATTAGTATTTATAACATTATATTACATTCACTTGGAGACACTTTTTTTTCCTAAGCAACTTACATTAACTGTATTCAATCCACGTAGGAGCAAAAGCTAGGTGTCACACAAAATTGGGAGTGAGTCCATTTTAAACAAATAACTTAAGATCATGTTCAACAATCAGAAGGTTGGCGGTTCGATCCTGGCTCCTCTCGCTGCATGTCAAAGTGTCCTTGAGCAAGATACTGAACCCCAAATCACCCCTGTTGCTGTGCATTGGTGTATGAATGTGTGTGAATGCTTCGTTTCTGTTCTGGTGAGCAGTTGGCACCTTACCAGCCATCAGTGTGTGAATGTGGGCGAATGGGATCAATGTGGCATGTAGTGTACAGCGCACTGAGTGGTCGAAAGACTACAAAGGCGCTTTATAAGTACAGTGCATTTACCATTTACGAGAGCATTAAGATCTTTTTGTTTATGTTCCACAGACTGTCATTGAAGTTGTTCTTTTGCGCTAGAATAGGTTTTCAGTTTCAGCTGGTGTCTACAGTATCGTAAGCGCCAGTCTTTTATCAGCTCCACAGGATTGGTGGTCATGCATGCTTGCTGTTTCATTGTCATGGGCTGCTGAACACTCAGTTAACATATGCCATGTCTTCTTTTATCTCTCAGCAGAATCAGTTGGACAATTGGTGTCTGAATTGTTAATAGGATATCGACAGGTGGCAGCTAAAGGCCTCGGTGGGATGAACTCCTCTCTCCTGTCCTATGTGCACACACGGGGGTTACAGATACACACGAGTAGCCCCCTGTTTAATTGTTAATCATCTTTCTGTGACACTGATGAATTAAGCAACAGTCTGGTCGAAAATTAAGTTTTGGAGCTTAGCTGCACTGGTGGCAATTAGTTTTATCCGTGCTTTCTGTTGTTTATTAATTGAGGTGTGTGAGGATTCCAGGACATTTCTGCATTGACTGTTGAAGCTACAGTTTTGCCTGCAGTGCAGTGTGAAGACAGATCCCACGAGTGCACTGCTATCGTTCTAAGCTTTGCCTCTTGAGATGCGAGTTAATTAGTTCTTTTTTTTGGTGAAATTCTCCAAATCCTTACCTAAGACTTCCACGGCTTATGACTGGAGAAGGATTGTGTAGTGGTACACCCGCTTACACATGACATTCAGATGATAAGTGTAAAAACAGTGTTATCCTCTTATTTGTCTGTATTTTCAATAACAGAAGCAGATCTATGTATTATTTTTTGATGTCACATGCTGGACAAACTGCCCGAAAACAAAATTGTCAGCTGTTTAACCACACGTTTTTCTTTTCTCTTTGCAGGATGTTCCGCTTGCGGGCGTTGTCCGCAGTTTCGGTGGGACTAGCGCAGTTGTCCCGACGCTACCACAGCGGGACAGTGCGGGGGTCTGGCCGGAGGAGGCTGATGCTGGCAGCCCTGGCTGGGGTGACTGGTGTGTCTGCTAGTGCTGGGCTGCTGTGGAATAGGTAGGACTGGGCCCATTAATGCACCTGTGTGCTTCTATGTACTACTGAAACAGTTGAATTCAGTTTAAAAAATACACTATTTTTCCCCGTAGGAGCAAATATACAAAACGCAAAGCATTAATTCATAATACATGATGGATAAATAATAAGTGCGTGCACCGTCTTTTGTCTTTCTTTAGACAATTGCTTATGTTCATGCCAAGACTCGCTGTGTGGTGTGGTCCCCATTAAATGAACAGACCATGATCTGCATTGAAAAGACTAGGATTGGTTTGCTTTGACAGCAGTTTGACTTTTGAGCACATGCCAAATTCGATTCTTCAACATGACGCAACTATTAGGGAAACCACCCATGAAGTTGCTTAACTGCATTTCTGTTGACATTCCAAGGCACCACCCCAAGGGTGTCACAATGTTTTTATGGCTATGCCTTACTAAGGAGGCTGGTGTTTAGTTAAGGCAAGGAGTGGAGAGGCGGTTGACGTGAGAGCTGTATGGGGACAGAATGACTGTGCTGCAGGAGGCAGAGTGATGGATGGTGCCTCAGGGCATTTGAGACTGATGGGACGAGACTGTTCCAGGCCTTCACCCCAGGCTTCATTCTCCTTGTGTCTCATTAAACTGAATTATTCAGCCTGCCCCAGACAGACTCAGCTATTTATTATTATTATTCCAATTTTTCAATTTAGTCAGAAAAACGGTCAAGTGGGAGTTTGCCGTGGTAAACCTCTTCGCTTTGCACAGTGCAGCACATAATCTCTCTCGTTCCCTCTCGTAGCCACAGCACATGCTTAGCTGCAAAACATAGTCCCCGACATACTGGGTAGCAGAGTAAAACACAAATATTACAATACCACACCTCCACGACAAGCGAGATGGAAATGTCCCTGAGTTTCTTATCTAATCCGTTTTTTGTTTTTGTTTTTTAAACTAGAGCATATGCTGATGCAGGGCCTTCCGTTCAACACTCTGAGCAACCAGGCGGAGAGGGAGCTGATTTCATCAGGGATACAGATTCTGAGACGGAGTCAGAGAAATCGGTGGAGGCCAGCAGTGGAGATGAAGAAGCAAAGGATGATGGCGGTGAAGGGAAAAAAAAGAAGCCACGCTCCGGATTCCGTGACCGCAAGGTGATCAATAAACAATAAACATTCAGCCGTTCAGTCACTCTTGTATTTAATTCACCTTTATATTGGTGTTTTGAAGGGCCTCCCAATCAATGTCCAATATGCAAACGCCAGTACATTTTGACATTTTATTTTATGGAGACATACAAAGGAAATGAGCATGCATTGCTGGAGTCATAAACAACTGAAATGTTCAGCCTGTAAGATTTTATTCCTGTTAATTAGGCAGCAGATGACAAAGGGGATGCAGAAGAAGAACAAAGGGTCTTTGGTGCCATGCCAAATAAACACAGTTTGTAGCTCTGCATATTATCGTTGGAGGACCGGGCAGAGAAAAGAGGAAGAGCTTTGAACAATAGATGGAATTTTTTTTTTTTAAAGTGACGCAATGGTACATCCGACTTGTGCTTTAGATGTAAAAAATTGTGCAATCACTCTTGCCTCAGCAGCAGCCATAGATGTCAGGGGAGCACACAGTGAATCGTACCACAGGTAGTTTGTGCCATCTTACTCACTATGTCAAATAAAGAGTTTGATAAGAGCATACGGGAGTTCTGTATATGTGTACAAATGTCCATCAGCACTTCAGACGGCCCTTGACGAATGTTGATGGCATTTTACAGTATGTGTGGTTAAAAAAAAATAAAATTATTTTATAATATATACCTGTTGTGACTTGAATTTTACCCCCTTTGGTTGTGTATGTGCAGTTTCTTTGTAATGGAAAGATAGAGCATTAAGGGTTGAAAGCTCATAAGAAAGAGGCTTGAGTCTCCATCAGTGTGGATGATGCGGAGATCAGTAGCCTGTAAATCTGAGGAGATGAAAGCCAGAGAGGGATGACAGCATACCCTGGGCTTCCCATCAGTCAGGCTCTCAGGCGTTTCCGCACGACTGTCCTATAACCTCTCATCCATACACTGATGGTTGCCTCTTCTGGGGGACACGCTCCTGGTGATTTCCCTAAAGACCAATAAGGTCTTTTAAGAGGGGGAACCAACACAGAAGCACGTAATCATAGCTACAAACTCAAGAAGCAATTCGAGTTTGATCAAAGTCTGTGTGTGTTTCTAACTCTTTCTGTTATCAAATTAAATTAGATAATAGCCTCAAAAAGTTTATGCTTTTTCCACAGGGAGTTTGTGTAGTGTAAACAGTCATTCAGCATCACATTAAATAACCGCCTGTGTGGATTACAGCTGGCAAACAGACACCGCTCTGTCAATTTCTATTTGAAACTTTCTGCTGAAAGGCAGATGGCAGTGTCAAGGCAAACATTGACGAGGCTAATGTGTGTATCAGAGCTGAATAAATGAGTTTGGTTATTTTTGTACTTTCCAAAATGTTGGACTTCGGCATGTCAGCAGTGCCATGCTGTTAGCCTTATGTGTGGTTGTCACAGCTTTGTGTGGCTGGGATAGTTCTGCAGTCTCCCTTCATGTTAAGCTGCCAGTCACACTGATCCTGAAAAGCACTATTTCCTGTTTTGATTATGTGGTAGTTGTGGTAGTCAGGAGGTTAATGTACCTCCCCATCAGGACTGACAACTTGTTTTTCCTGCCGCCACCTTCTTCTTTATTCTAGTCACTCCTTCACCCTCTCCACACTCTTTTAACTCTCCCTATTTACCTTGCTACACACAGGATTGGAATATCGCTGAGTCTTTTGATTTGGTTGATGTTTGGGTATATTAGAGAGGGGACATTTTGTGTCATTAATTGGCGTTTGTTGTCTGGTCGACAGGTTATGGAGTATGAGAACAGGATAAGAGCCTACTCCACTCCGGACAAGATTTTCCGCTACTTTGCCACACTGAAGGTCATCGGCGAGCATGGAGATACTGAGGTCTACATGACGCCCCAGGACTTCATACGCTCCATCACACCTAACGAGAAGCAGCCTGAGAGTGAGTCTCCTCTCTTTCCTTTGCTTCAACTTCTTATTTTCTATGATTTTCAATCGGTTTTATTTATTCCTTCCATCCAGGATTTTAAAACACACCCATGCAACCTTGCATGTGTCGCAGTACATGCATGCAGGTTTATGGTAATCACTATCCAGGGTGAGATGTTTCCAGTGAGCAATGCTGAGATCGTATCACTCCACCGGTAGATCATTACCCAGCGCAGCCCCCCCCCTCACCCAGCTATAGGGACACTCAGCACACGCTTGGCAGTTCAGGACTCAGGCCAGTTCATGGTATAACGATCCAACTGACCGTGTTCACAAGTATAAAGGGATGTGGGGAGGGGGGGATGGAAGTGACAGGGGCTGTGCGATCATGCTGAGTTGAGTGAATCACAGCACAGCAGTTGGTGTATCAATTAACAGGTTCAAATCCGAGCAGATCTCAGGCGTCACACATGGAGCCAGTGAGAGATATTTGATCTTTAGCCATGGGAGGGTTGGGAAGGTAGGGAGCTTAACTTGGCACAGGCATGTTTCAGCACCACTTCTGTCTTAATCTGTCATTATCCAGATATTGAACACTAAAATTCAGTTACATTTGTGTGACATTTTATTGTATAGGAGAATATTCGCCTCCATCACACACTTACGGATGAATTCTCACTGTGTGAGAGCTATTACATCCCCAGTAAAGGAGGGACGCCTGCAGTTAACACTTAATAAGGACTTAGCTGGGCCTGTCACGTCTGGGCTGCCCTTCCTGCTCACCTCAGCACTTCCTTCTGTTAACTATGCCCAAGACTTGGCCCAGCTTGGCCCCCATTGGCCTTCCATTCTTAGACCAAGTAACTCTGCTCCCCACTTGACGATTCCCAGCTCTTCCATTCTTTATCCTGTATTTAGCCCCACTGGAAACTGGATTTAAAGTAATGATGAGCTGAGCTCGGTTGAATAGGAGAAGGTTCAGCAAAGCAGATGAAAAAGCCAAGAAAGTGCCGTTTACTTCATAAGCAGCCATTTCACTTCTTTTCTCAAAGCCCCCTGCCCAAGTGAGGTTAAACAACAGACCCTCTGCTGGCAAGTCTGCTTCTGTTGTTTCAATGCTCAGCAGATTTTCTGACCCATAGATCAGTGGTTCTCAACCCTATTCAGGGTCACAGAAGCTTCACAGGGATTGTAAGACCTTAATTTTAAGGGGTGTAAAACTTTGGAAAAAATACACACAGTATATCTCAGCATTTCATTAATTTCTACAAAGAAAACTAAATGAAACTGTTATTTTTAAACTTTGCATTATTATTTAATAGCTACACTTTGAAGACCTGAACACAAGCTATATTCACTGAGCCTTCAGTATCTGCTTAACAGCATCGGCCTACATTAGAAAAGTTAAAACAACCAAAGAACTAATAGAGCAATGGCTAAGTGTCAGGGAAGAGAAAATACAGAATTCAGAAAAGAAGCCTATTAACTATGTATGGTTGTTAAAAAATAAAATTAAAAGCCTAATGGAGAGTTGTATAAAATGTACAATCCAAAGAGAATCCAAATTGCTCGTTTGACACGAACATAAACATCCCCAAATTTTACAGCCCAACAGAGAACAATACTCTTCCTGTTGTCAGGTGGGCTTATTAATTTCTTAAGTTAGAAGGTGAATTCTATGATGCTGCAAAAACAAAATAAGCAAAACAAGGCTGCCTTTTTCTGAAACGGCCTGCTAAATGGGACAGACCTAGAAATGTAGGCTTCAGCACATTGATCCAGCCCCTGAGTTGGGAATCTTTTGGATTTTTGTAACTGACCTGAAGTTAAAGTATTATTGACTAAACAGAAGAAGGCGTTCGGCTATTTGCAGAGGTCTTAGGTGATTAGGTTTTGTGTAATGCCAATGAAGCCAACTTCAAACAAAATTATGATCTTCACTTAATTAGTGTTCAGTTTAATAAGATTATACTCTAACCGTCGCCCTCAGAGTTAATCTGATTTGAGACTGTTTCAGCAGGTCAGTGTGCTACTATTCTTTCCGTGTGATATCAAGAGCCTGCGTGACTCTTGGAAGTCTTTTTTCTCTCAATTACTGCATGCTTCATTTAACAGATGAGAACTGCTGCCTCACACAAGCATTTAGAACATTACAAGGTTTATTTGTTTGAATTGCATTAGTTTGGAGGTATGATTGTCTTTTTCACACAAAAATTCATAACTCATGTTAGAAGTACGTTTAATTAAGTTTAGTAGAAAGTGGGGAAAATGATGTTTTGTATCATCCTTGCAGGGAGCATTCAGCATTCAGCTACAAAATCAATTGAAGTCTGACAGGACAAAGCAGAGCACATTGAAGAATACTCGTTTTCAACTGATCCATATGTGTGCTTCAATGAAGTCATCAATCACTGTGTTAGCATGATATAGTGACATTGATTTTTTCGATAAACCTAAACACGTTGAGAAACATAAATATATACAATATAATATACATAAATAATTGTACACATTGCATACTATTGATCTTGGTACACGCTTCTCATTTTGGATCTATAAAATAAACGTGAGAACATTGTTCTAACTGATGATGAGAGTAGTCGAAGCTGAATGTCAATGATTGTTTATTTTAAAGAACTTGCAAAATGGAAATGGGTTGTTAATGACTATTATTAATCTCGAGCATGTGTCAGTGATTACCAGAGGTTCACTAACTACACCAAGTAAATACATTTGCTCTGCTTCATGGTGGACATAAATCGTGATGCCCCCACTGTGTAACTAGTCTGCCTCAAATCTTGTTTGTTATAATATTTGTCTCCAGATCTGTATTTGTTTATTTTCTCTATCTCTTTCTCAGATCTGGGCCTGGATCAGTTCATTGTGAAGCGCTACGATGGGAAGGTAAGAAGTGGGATAGAGGGTCAACTTGGCAATCAAGGAAGCCAGCAGCAGGGACTGTTTGATAATTATGTGTTAGAAATGTTAATGGTGATGGATTTTAAGAAAACTAAAGGAGCATTGCATTTCCCCAGAAAGCTGTGTTCTAATAACATTTTATTAGAGCTTATTTCTTTTCCCCCTGAACAGCTTGCCACTCTACTAGAGGGGTTTATTCCCCAGAATGGCCAGTGTCGATAATGGCTCAAAGAAGCAGTTTATCCAAAATACAAAAAACAACACATTTTCTCACTTACCCCAATTACCCATGGTGGTGTCCGGCCATTAAGATAATTTGCAGTTTTATAAGCCAAGTTTTTAAGATATCCGCCTCAGAAACTTCTACCACTTCTTCCGCAACCCCAATACAACGGAGGTGAACAGAAATTTCTTTGTGCGCCTTAAAGCGCTGAAAAATGTCCTTGCAAACACAATATTCCCGTTACTTTGGTTAATCCACAGACCTTACTCTTCGATAATTTGCAGTTCCAGTAAAAACTCCACATTAAGGAAAAACGCAATATCAGTCAATATAGACTTTTCATTTGATCATAAATCTGTCCCTTAGCACTTTAAATATACTATTGATCGTATTTTCTCCCAAATTAAGCAAACTTAAGCAACTGACATCTGCACTTGATAATTAGACTTTATAAGAATAAGTAGTAATAGTTGTATCTGTTAAATATGCATACCAAGAGAAGGAATTATAAGTGAGGTTTTGGAAAGTATGGTCTTAATTTGATTGCATTCAGCACTGAAACCCCAGTCTTTATGAATGTGATGTTACATAATAACATAATGAAATCCTTTTTATGAAATGCAATATAAAGAGAATAACTGTCATTTCATCTTTCAGGCTGATATGACATTGAAGAAAGAGGATAAATAGAACAGGGATGATGTATAAAGGCGAGGCGATAACTCAATAAAAAAATAGAAATTAAAAAGTACGCATCAGGGCCACTGGGGTCACAGCATCTTAAATGATATGGAAAGAGATAGTGAAGAAAATAGAAAACACTATTACACTCTGTCAGCAAAAAGTGCAGAAATTGATAGAAAAAATCCCAAATAATACAGCTATCAGAATGTTGGCTGTCCTTTCTGGGTCTACGTTTTTGTTTGTAGGTCTATTGTACCTATTTTCTGTTGGTATCTGGCAAAATGTGCACAAACTGCTGTCACACTGAGATACTACCATTGCACATGTACATTTTATAAGAGAATAGATGTGAATGACAGAACATCCACAGGGAATAGTTTGAAATGTTGGTCACCCTTCCCTCAAAACACGAGTGAAACAATGTTATTTTTCCACAGACCATACCCTGTATACTTTTTTTGTCTTTGCTTATGTCTTTGCTTTGCTGTCTGCTTCTCAACCGTCAACTCATGTTATTTTCAAATTACAGTAATTGAAATTAGGCCAGATAACCAAAATATCTTGCTTTTCAAATATTGTTTGAGCTCTGAAAGTTCAAAAAAAGGTTTAGATTTAGAGTAATGAAGAAATGTATTGTTTTTAGCCTATGCAGGGATCTTATAACTATCTACCTTCAATCTGTAAACATTCAGTTAGTAAAACCTAGTTCAGAAAAGTTCAAAGTAGGCCTGCCCTGTGCATAATGACCTATTTAGAGACAATAAGAGCAGGTGAACTTCGAACAGACTACCTCCCCCACCATGGCCACAGATTGATTCTAAAAGGAGCAAGTCTCTAGGCCCTCAATTTGAACATTTCTCTGTTCACAGTCAAGGAAATAGAAGCCATCAATATGAATCACCAACATCATTATTTTCATTATTGCATTCCTTGATATTGATTCATGCCCATTACTGCCCTCTCACTGATCCCCGGGAACATCTCTCACAGCCAGTAGCCAACCATCCTCATTTATTTAATATTAACTAATTATCAGAGTGGTGATTGCAGTTTCTAACCTCATTCCAAAATCCATCAGCCCCCAGGCTGGTATGATGCAGAGTACATCTGTACCCCATCTCCATGTTGTAGTTCAGTGAGCTACACCAAGTCAGTGAGGCTAAAGAGAGAACTATTTGTCACAACGTCCCTCTTTTTACTGCCTTGTGCAACTGCTATAGAGATTATAATAGTGATATAATAGTGATTTTACTAAGTCTCGTGTTTTGTGAAAGAGTTCTCAGAACTTTGATTCACCCATATTTCAAAAGCATATTAACCAAAGAGCTTGGGCTATACAAAATTTTGTGGTGGCCTAAAATCGAAATTGAACACTCTTCATTTATGGCTCTTGTCTGCTCATGTAAATGTCGTCCCTATCTCCAGGCCTCGTGTTTCCTTTATTTGCCAGGCAAATCTGTGGACACATGGTCTTCTCTGATACTGTATTTAGCTTTGGTTGTCCCCTGAGATTTTCCTGCCATGGTTAGAGCGGCCCGAGGGCAAACCCTCCCTCTCTGGCTCTGCCCAGCTCTTTTTTCTCCCAGAGACTTGTTCCTCTCCCTCATTGGCTTAATGGGCACCCCTAGCTAGTTGGTAGGAGGAAGAAACCATTACGGCTGACTGCCAAGAAGCAATGAAATCTAGTTCACACAAAACTTAAAACTGCATTGAATTAGAGCTACTCTAGATGAAATGGCCATGGCATGAATAGCGCCGCAATATCTGTAGTGTGTAAATCATGAAGTTGATGGAGGGTGTGGTGAAGTACAAGAGGAGCGTTTCAGGTGGGGGTTGGGTGGTAAACAGCGATAAAGGCTAAGGTTGATGGAGGAGAGGTGTACAGTATTGTGTGAGAGTAACACGAGAGCTCTCTTAAAAGACCTCTGTTTCTCGCTTCCTGTGGTTTTATTTAGAAAGAGATTTGCCACATGCATACTGTTTGGCCGCAGTAAGTGTTTAAAAGTCTACATGTTATGAACCTTTCCCTTCCCCCCCCCCCCCCCCCCCCCCCCCTCCCCCGCCCCCTCCTGCTGACACTAATTTGTTCCAGGTTCAGACTGTATGTATGTACACATTACATGCCCTGTATGGTTGTTTAACAGCTGCTGTTCATATTGACTCACCCTGTTTGTTTTATTTTTATTTTTCCTGTCCAGAGGAACACAGTTATTTTAACTCTTTAAGTCGGATTTCTTGTGTTTGCTCAACCGATTGTTTCATGCCACGTCTCTCTGCTGGTAATTCACTTCATCTCTGTATTTTCTCCTCCTGCCATGATCATGTGGACATGCTTTCAGCTGCCGTAATCTTATGTTGATGTGACCTGAAGTTGCCATTGTTGATTGTTGATGATTCTCTCGTGCTCTTATCAGCCCTCCTCTCTCATTCGCATAACAAGTAATCCCTCCATTTTCTCTCTCTTCCCTTCCTGGCGAATAACCATCGTCCTCAACTCCCCGTCTCCCAAAATCCCCAATTTTTCTGTCTCCCCTTTCCCCCCAATCATTCCACCTACTGATCCCCATTCTCCACCCACAAACTCCCCATCCCTCCTCCTCCTCCTCTTTTTCCTCTTCTTTCTCCCTCCTCATTTCCGTCCCGTTCTGCCCCTCCCTCTCTGCAGGACTTCTGGCAGGTATGGGGTGTATGCCGAGCAGCATGTGTGCACCTGAATGAAAACTGCACTTTGTAGTCACTACCTACTCCCTCCTTCTCATTTATATACTTTTTCCCCTCTTCCTTCTCTTATGTCTCTCTATTTTTTTTTTGTATCTCTCAATTACTCACTCTGTTTTATAAAGGAGGGCATAGCTATCCACTGCTGTTAGTCCAGGGGAACAGCTAAGTAAGTAGTTATTCTGTATTTACTACATCTCAGCGTGTGTGAAAGCAGTGTCATGGCCTCAGTTAGGTTTACTACCGCCGTGGATAAGCAGACAAACTGTGCATTAAAATCTGTTTTTTCTAACAAGCAATCAGTAGACTGGTAATAAAATGTTTAATTTACATCTAGCTTTTCTCTCATAGGTATGCTGTACACTGCCTGAGGGGGGAAGTCAAACAGTAGGAAGAAGTAGAATAAAGCACCACCACTGTATTTTCTTATATAATAAGGCGGATTATATCATGGCCACGTGAAGTTCTCGTGTCTGATTGGCTCAGTGTAAAAGTTTCATCGTCATCCATTTTTTAAACAAACTTTAAAGATGGTTGATGGGAAGTGGCCATGGTATAAGCACTAAAGTCTGAGGTGTCCTAATATGGAAAATAACAACATTTGTGGAGGAAACGCCACTCTTCTTATCGTTGTGGTGTTCTTTACCGCAGCTTATCTGTTACTTTCATATACTAGGACACTGAAGTTGCTTAATCACTTTACATAAATGTGTATATTAGCATTTATTTGCTCCTAGTTTCCAGCAATGCACCAAAATGTTTCACCAGAGTGCATCAGAGAATTTGTGATTCAAATGTTCTGATATACACATTTATGTTGGTAAGTGTAGATAAAAGAGCCTGGACCTAGAAGCTTTATCTACTAAATGATTTGGCCTTGCAGGTCTGAATGCCTCCATCAATCAAGATTACGAGTAGATAAGTAGAGCGCAGCAAAGGGCAGGTTACAACCTGCACACCTTTATAATGACGGGGAGTGTCAGAAACCGAAGCAGGCACACACCCTACTGTGTGTGCATTTGTATCAAATATGCAAACTCCAACTTTGTGTAGTTACTGCATATTGTGTTGGAGACCTCCCCGTTGCCCTTTGTATAGCTTGTTGCGTGCCATGCCCTTCCTGCTGAATTATTAAAAATGAAGACTACATATATTTCCTCTACAAGGATTATTAAACGCTGCAGCACTGCTACATAATTTACACACTAGTGTAAAGTAAAGTAAAATATATAGTCCAATTTGAAGGAGTATGTCAAATCTTACAAAGCTGAGATGCAAAATGAGCTAAAATGAGTCCTCCTGAGGATCATGCCAAATCATAGCAGTGCTGTTCCCCTGCACTCCCTCCGTCTTGCTTTATAAATCTTTTCTACTTTCATCTCTTCTAAGAAACATCAGCTCTAGCTTTCCACTTGCTTTGGCACTCTAGCCTTTTTCCCCAGCATGCACTGCTCTATTGCCTGTGTCTCACAGAAAAAGTAGCTGGTGGTGGCGCCCCCTCTCTGCGCATGGTGGCATCACAGGGTAGCTTTGGACCCAGAAAATTGCTCTGTTAGCTAATGTCGAGGCTGTATTGATGTGCTTGATAACCTTCACAAATCCATCCTCTGGATTGACCGGATGTCAGTGCTGCATGATTTCTGTAGAGCATGGTTTAGAGTCACTGAAGGCAGGACTTGCTCTGTACTGTACATCTAAAATGTATCCAAAATGTTCCTACATGCTGTGGCCCTCCCGGCCCTCCTCTGTATGTAAAGCTACAGTGTCTGCCGCGTGACCTGCTACAACTGAGAGCGGACACCTGTCACTCAGAGGGAGTGCGGAGGGGGGCTGCTCCATTGGAAACAAGCCTCTTGTCACACCAACTGTTGTCATATTCCCTCTTTATGATTTCACAGGAAGCTCCCAGGGGTCGCTGGACTATCACCGCTCTATTTTCTCCATCTTTCTTCTCCGTCTTCAATTGTCACATGCTTTGTCAAAGTTTGTCTCACACACACTTTTTCTCTTTTTTCTCAATCTCCTATCCTAATCTACAGTAACAGAGGTTGGGTTGTCTGTACACCTCGTCAAATAATTCGGTTCCCCTTCTCCTGTTGTGAGACAGCTGCTATTCCTCAGCGACCAAAATTTGTTTATTGAGCGTTCCACATCAGGGTCCATTATTCTGATTGTGCTCCCAGAATAATTATGAGTTATTAACAGTACACCTGCTCTGTGGTTACCCCTGGGACTAGATTTGGAAAGCTAATACATTAGTGTTCTCTCCACCCACACACCCACCTACAGACTGTGGTGTTTTGGTCCCTTGGTGTCATCATAAACAAGTAGAAAATATTCACTTTGGACCTTTTTGGATTTTGGTTATGTGTGTATGTTTTCTGGGGTGTTGGAGGCACAGTGCCTAGCATACAATTATGTAGTGTGTATGTGGGTTTTATGGGGGCTTGGATGGAGACCGTGCCCTAGTTGTATGTGTCGCAGCACTTACACGCCGTGAGAGCTTTCACCCACCTTTTACAAATGTCAGGCTCAGACCCGAATTAACTTTACCCCTTAAGCCCTTTCCCCCAAAACTCACATCTTTCCTTGTACCTGCCAAAGTGACAGTAACCCCAGAGCTACCCCATCACACAAAGCAGCATAAAGGTACTGATCCATTTTTAATGCATTGGTCTTGCCCCCCTTCACCCCTCTCTTTCACTCATTCTGCACTGTCCGTCTGTAACACTACACATCTATCTTTTTTCTTCTTTTTTTATCAGTTTATCCCCACTGGTTCAGCTCTCCAATACGCCAAGTTCTAGCGAGACTCACCTGTACAAAAGATGAGAGGTTGCTCGGGGACAGGCATCACTCCAGTGCGCACACTCATCACACACACAAATGCATTGACAAAGAGAAGAGGGGGCACATTTCCTCTCTTTGCAGCTTGAGCTTTTCATCTTCAGTGGCAGGTCTCAGCCTAGACCCATAAATTCATCTCTTTGTTGTGACGCGCAGAGGAGACAACAGAGTCATGTGACATTATCTGAGAAAAGTCAATTTGTCTTTAGTGTGAAATTAATATTTTACGTCGTCGTTTATATCCAGTTCTTTAATCATCCGCTTCCCTCTTTTCCTCTGTCTTGTTATCATTGGGGTGTCGGCAGCTGCAGTGTTGGACGAAGCCACAGATCCAATCACTAACAAAGCACTGCAGTCGGTACAGTTGGTACTGGAGAGGGCCAACTCTAAGCGGCCATCAACTCCTAAGCCAAGCGAATGGCCACACAAAGTGCTGGCGGAGTTGTGTAAATAACAAGAGCAGAAAATGGATGGGTGGCACATGATATATTTCTAGTATCCAAATGTCCATATTAGAAGACTGCGGTGTGGTGTGTTGAATTATGTCTCATCTCAATCACAGTCACTTCAACAGCTGCCTGTCTTTTATTATGACATGATGATGCTGGATGTCAGAAACGCGTGTGTACTCATCAGCGTAGCTGTGATATATATTAAACCCTTTAGAGCAACAGTGCCCTGTTGTTTTTTTGATCATGTGAAGTTGTTTATATCCTATATTTGTTCGGAAGTAAAAATAGAGCTAACAAATGGAGATCATTTATTAAAGCATCAATCTTTGTTGACAGTTTTCTACAGAGATAGGTGATAGAAGCTAAGGATATATATATAAAATGGTGGCTAAAAGTGTATAATTCCTTAGTTTGGGATTTAATAATGAAGTGTGAGAAGACCTTTATATGCAGGCCAAGTTTTTAAGTTGTCACTTTTTAATTGTGTGCTTAGAACGTGTTTCTTAGCCACTCTTGTGATATGAGCAGGAAGAGATTTAGTGCCCTTTTTGCATGCGAGCCTCTGGCTGTGCTTGACTTGTATGGGTCTCATTTGTTGGACTCTTTATGCTTGGGCTACAATTTGGCAGCTATCAGGGCTGCTCTATAGCCTGATCCACCGGAGAGATTAGCCCTGACCAAACTTCTAACCCCCGTCTGTGTGTGTGTGTATACGACAGCAGTACATTTGACTGCCCCGCCGCCAGCACCGTCCTGCCGGCAGCTCTGTCAGCACTGTGTTTCTGCCTCAGCTCACAAGCTAGTTTGGTTGTTCATTCTGTCATCTGGACACAGCCCCGTGGACTTTGACGTAGCGTAGCTGATAATACAGACATGTATGAACACATTAGCAGACCCAAGGCAGAAATTTAAAAAGAAATCATGTTTTACACACACAAACAGCTACAAAGTTGACACTGATCAACAGACACATGCTGACAGATGAGGCGTTAGCTGTTAATTAACTTGAGTGCTGCAGCAATTAGGATTATAGCCATTTGAAGATCAGTGCTCTGGGAAAACTCTACGATAAGTGTTAAATATAGACTCCAATGTGGTTTGGATCCTTTAAGTGATTGCAGCAGCGTGTTTTATATGTCCTCTGGGTTGATGAATCAAAACTGATGAAAGACTGAACTGATGAGTCTGTCTGGGAAAGTAACCTAATAGGTATCGCTTGTACATCAAACTTCTTACCGTTGTCCGAATAATATATGCATGTTTGTACTGTTGAAAGGCTTGTTCTTGAAGGACCCAATATTTCACAACTTCAGTGGGAAGATGAGGCTTTCACCAGTTACAGGAAGGTGGAGGATGAAGGGAAAGATAGGACACGATCTTACAGCTGAGCCACAAACTCCACGGGAAAAAGGCTTAAAAGCCGAGATGAAACCAACAGCACAGCTTGACAATACACAGTTGCCATACCTCTGTGTCTGCTTAAGAGAGTGCACGGTGTTACATCATACATTTGTTGGAGAGATGTACAGTATGATAGCACATTGTGTTTGTGAGCCAGGGAGTGGAAGCTATATTCTCAGCTCAACAGTGAAGTCTGTGGATCATAGAAGAAAGAATCGACAGGGAAACTGTCTGCATGAGAGTAGACTGAAATCTCTGTGTCTGTTATTGGTTAGTATGCCTGTGTACACTCTGAGATCTCTTTTTTTTATCAGCTAAATATGCTATTTGGTTCTACTCTCCGGCCATTATCTTTGGACTTATTTCCTTGAATGTCATTTTGGCTATTCTAGGGGCTGTTTTTGTCCTTGACTCAGGACACCGAAGAAAGTGAGTTATTATGCATAATATGCTCTGTGCCTCTGTTCTGATCATCCTAATGTCTCTCGTGTGTGCAGTTGTGTAGATGTCTGTGTGGGTATGAGTACGTGTTTGCCCACTGAAATACATACTGTTTTATATTTGGAGTTAGGCCTGTGGCTCACCTCAGGCCCAGAGGGCTTACTTTGTGTGTCATCATTCCAGACTCATCGGGGCCAATACCAACCTCTTTTACTCTCACCCACTTTCTCTTTTTACTCTTTCTATATGTTCATACATGTCCCTTTCTACTCTTCTCTTACACTTGTACACGTGCAAACCTCATCTCTTATGGCACCAAGAATACAAATTTGCCCTTTGTCACCTGTCTCTGGCTGTCTGTTGCTCTCAACCCAGCACTGCTCCGAAAATAACTTTTTTTTCTCTCTCTCACCTCCCTGTCTGTCTCCCACTCCCTTCTCCTGTAATACTGCAAATGTAGATATCATTAATAATAAATGTTACAGTAGAAACCACTATTTTCTATATTAGCATCACTGACATGTAACAGTTAAGATAGACACGAATCAGGGATAATGATGTATTTTATAAGCTTATACTACTTGTCTTTTGCAGCCCTTATACTGTCTGTATCTCATGAGGAGGGAGTCGGTTCATGGGGGAAAGAATTTGAAAGAATTTTGTCATGTTATGCTATTGTGGGGGATGCCACCAAATTATATTATTCAAATAAGTTAAGTGTCCCTTTCAAGAGAAACTAATGGACAAGCTTTAATTTGCAATGGGTAGCATACAGCTTCAATGACAATACTTAGGAAACAGAACAAGGAGAATAATAGGTATGAATGATTGCTATAACAGCCTGTTTACTGGAGCTGCATCATTTTGTATTGCGACTTTGATTCATTGTTGTTCATGTGTGCAAACTGCTATTAATTACAGACTGCAGGGACGGCAAGACATATTTGAATTGTTTGTTTGAGTGGTATCCTCCAATTATCTTGTTTTGAGCAAGATGTTTTCTGTGTGTGTGTGTGTCAATATGAATGCACATGCGTGTGTTTGTCGTTCAAGGCCCTGCTAAAGACAGCAGAGGCCACACTGCTCTCTAACAGTTGTTTCTCCTCCTTCCTCCTCTGAATTGGACCTCTTACAGACGGAGGTAACTCCACGCGGGCTTAGCGTGGCCCAGCCCCCCACCCCTCCCAAGGCATGCTCTGTTCGTCTGTCCACTCTGTTTGGTGGAGCGTCTTACTAGTGGGACTCTCTCTTTCAAGTCTCTATCACTGAGTGTGTAGTGTGCATGTGTTTAAGACTCACTTTCATGCAATGCTGTGAATATACACGCTAAAAGAAAAAAACACGTCAGTTAACTGAGCGTTTGTGTGTGTGAAAGAGCTAAAGTCACTTTGTTTTTTATGATTAATACATTTGGGTTGTGTTACAGATGTGGTTAATCAATAGTGTGTGTCTGTGCGACAGTCTCTTGTGATGTTTTTCCTCTCTTTATGTCAATTTCACACTGTGAGTACGGCCCTATGGTGGATAACGTGTTTTGTGCTTGAACTGACCACAGACTAATTGTTCGTCACTACCACCCTCACCTGCCTGTACAGCTTCATGTGTATGCAGCATTTGCATGACTATTATTGTGCTAAACCGTCTTATCCATTGTCTATTGTATATGTTGTCTAATGTGGGCTATTTTTAATGTGTGTATGTGGAAGTACAGTACGTGTGTGTACGTTTCTGTGTTTGAGCATAGCCAGTCTCTGAGTGAGCTTCATTCTCAGACACACACACTTGCTTTCACACACACACAGAGCCACACCTGGGACAGCTGTAAAAGCTATAAGGCTTGTGCTGAATCATGTGAAATGTTTTTAATATAACTTACTCATTTTTTATTTTTTATTTTTTTTGTCCTGACCTGAATGAGCAGAAGATCGCCCAGGAGAGGGAGAAGTTTGCAGATGAGGACAGCATTTTTTTCACACTGGGAGAATGTGGCCTTATTTCCTTCTCCGACTACATCTTCCTCACCACCGTGCTGTCCAGTAAGTATACTGTTGAACTGTACAGGCATCCCATTTCAATCCCTCTTCTGTGTCTTCTCCGCTCTCTGCTTTCTTACTACGTCAGTTAAGACAGAAAGTGGAAAGGGGAGAAATTTTCCAATATGATATTATTAGCCAGGATATGAAGCTGGCTGCCTGTTCTGTATGATCTCCAGTACTGTCAGATCTAATAACGTGTGTCTACCAAGCTAGCTGCCTTAGAGATGTTGTGTTTCACAGAATCCGTTTGTTTTAGCTGGATCTGGCATTGGGGGTGGATACTAGGAGTCAATTTCACATGAATGCCTCCTTCCTGAATGTGTCAGAGATCATGGTAATGAAAATGCAGCTTGGACTCCTTCCTGTAGTAAACTTTTATCCCCCAGCTTAGCTCGACCATTTCTTATAATCCGTTCATATGGAGAAAGTCTCTGGGGAAGTTTTCAAGGACAAGTCATTTTTAAGCAGACAGGGCAGTATGCCTTTTGGTTGGTTTCAATCCATTTAACACGGCCACAAAAATAGTACAAAGGAGGACTTATTTTGCCCAACAGGCCTCATGGTGGTACATATTTACTGCTTTTATACAGACTGAATCTTTAGACTTAAGACAAGACAAGATTAATCTTTAATATTTCCCTTGAAGGAGTTGGCTTGTTAAAGCAGTAAATGGTCATAGTGTAGTATAGTAGTAAAAAATGAAGCATTGAAAAGAATTTAACAAATAGAGGTTATATAATGTAGTTTGTAAAAAAAAAAAAAAATCAGTAAAAGTAAATATAATGGCATGAAGTGCTATATTTGTGATGTAAATACTGTATATGTAGTAACATGAAATGTAAGTGTGGAATAGCTTTACATGTTAAAACAACAACTTAATTTTCATGGTTACACAACGATATAGGGTTTTCCTTAAATTCGGTATGTGAATGTACAGCCCATATATCTCATATGAAAAATGAGCTAAAAGACAGATTGTAAATGTGTGTATAGGTGCTGTATATAGAGCTCTGGACGGAGGTACCGTTTGTTCTGTCATTATCTGACTGTGGGTGGTGTGAACTGTGAACTGAGCCTTGTTATCATGCAGGTTGTGTGGTCATTAAAGTGAAGTGGGTGTACTAGCAGATGTACAGAAAATGCCATTTGTAGAAAGTGTGCAGATGCTTTGCAAAGACAAATTCAGATATCATATAGGAAAATGTTGTATTCCAGATTCGCTCATATAGACAGTGCAGGGTCTAATCTCCACTGTTGGCAGAAGGTAGAGCTGATTGTGTAGCAGTTATTGGTGAGTTTGAAAGCTACTGGCTCAAAAAAGAGCTGATAACTCAAAGCTGATGAAAACTGAAGATGTTGCAAGTTGACAGAGTCAGTATTGAACACTTCAGCTGTTATCTGGGTCAATTCAGTTTGACGTGTTGTTTTCATGTTGTGTTGTATTGATTTCTGAATTAGTTTCTGTGTCCTCTGATGTTCAGCTCCCCAGAGGAACTTTGAGATTGCCTTCAAGATGTTTGATCTGAACGGTGATGGAGAGGTGGATCTGGAGGAGTTTGACCAGGTTAGACTGTGATCACCATCACGCCTTGTATTCACACATAATAATGCACAAAATCAACATTTTGAAGGATACACAAGGTTAAAACAGCCAGCCCACACGTTTGTACTGTGGACTGGACTTAATATCTACAGTAGCTCCTGATTGCATTACAGTAATCCGTAACACACACTCACAGGCAATAAAGGTAGGTCCCTACATTGATGGCCACCACTGTGCCATTTTTTCAGAGAGAAAAGAAGTGCTGTGCTCTGCACTCTGTGATATATCTCTCTCTACCACTGAATCTGATCCGGTTTATGATTTACAGTATATCATGTACAGTATTATTGAGTTTTCAAAGCTAAATCTCATTATGTGATAGAATGAATGAAAGTCCTATTGAATTTAAGTGCTTTGTAATATGAAGAAAATTAAAAAAGGAAATTGCTCTGTATTTTAAATCAAGCTAATCTTACACAAACTTTATAGGCTTTTTATTTTTTTATGTTGTCTGATTAAATGATTTTATAACCATTTCTATGGAAGTTTTAACGGATTTATATACTCCAAAAAGTAAATAGTCATAACTACTTCTAAAACCGCTAACAACTCATCCTGGTTGACACGGGACCCCCTACATCCTTAGGTCCAGAGCATCATTCGTTCCCAAACCAGTATGGGCATGCGACACCGTGACCGCTCCACTACAGGAAACACGCTGAAGACAGCCGGCTGCAGCTCCGCTCTCACCACCTACTTCTTTGGAGAAGACCTGAAGGGAAAACTCACCATCGGCAGCTTTCTGGAGTTTCAGAGGAAACTGCAGCATGATGTCCTCAAACTAGAGGTAATGAACGAAGAGTATTATTCATCTACTAGTTTACTTTCCTATTGTGTACAATCATAATAAATTAATTTGTTGCGGTTTTGCTTCAATCTGCACCCAATCACGAACTACATATGAAAATTGACAGCTCTTAACTCCAACTAAATGAGTCCCTTATTAAACAAACAAATGAGAGAGAAGCAAGGAGGCAGTGACAGATGTGTGTTATGCTCAGTATAAAGGAAACAAGGGCAGAGGATGATAAATGTACTGCGTGGATTGTCTGTCATTGCTGGTCAGTGTCATTCTCTCAAAAGCTGTGACAGTTAGGTATAAAAAACATCAGCTGTCTCCCCAGAGAGACACCAGACCTCTCTGTCCTTTGCCTTCACAGTAACAGAAAGTGATCAGTGTTGTTGAGCATATGGTTACTCTAATGTTTAATCAGCGTGGGTAGTGCCTAACTGATATACTAAAGCTTAACGGGCAACGTCCTCTGAAGCTTAGAATAGAACTCGAGTCAGAGAATTTGCCAGAAAGAAAAGCGCTATCTGTCAAGTCTTAATGGCATCAAGATGGTCAGAGAGGGATATCATAACACAGATAAGGTTGACACTAACATTGATAATCCAATTCCTGAAGTCTTACTCTCTCACGTGGGTGCCCTCACTCCTCTCTTCCTTTATTTGCTGAGGCTGCAGCTCAACCCTGGGCCATATTTCACCAGCTGTTAGGTAGCTGTTTTTATGCCAGGTGCCAAACGCCTCCTCCCCCTTTTCCCTTATTACTATTTTTGTAACTCTTATAAAACCCCTTGTTGATTAAAGTCAAGTAAACTCGTGCATGAACCTGCAGATAATTATCACCTAAATCTGCAGCTCCAATTGGCTTTACTGATCTTTATAGCCAGTATCCGCTCATTATTTAGCTGTATGTCATTTACTGTTTTCGGTCACTCTCACCATCTCATCATTTCTGGCAGCAGCAGGAAGCAATTTTCAGCATAAAAAGCACAAAACACCACCACTACCTACTCAGTACCAAACAGCAGACAGACACAGTGACTAGCTGGTGGACATATTGGAGCATTTAGCAGCTAAAGAGCCAGATATGTCCCTCAGGAGTTGGTGGAGAGCAAAAAGAGAGTGAATATTGGACTTACATTCATCAGGTAACCAAAAACACCAGTTCTCCATACCTTAAAAGGTGTCTCCAATGGCCAAAATTTTTTTTTATTGCAGGTTTAATGTGACTTCACCTCTTAAAAGGTAGAGATTCCACGGGGGCATTGCATGGTCAGGTCACCCCTGAAATATTCACTCTAGGCTTATTTTGGCTTAGTCATGAGCTGCCTCTCGCCAGTGCGACAAATTACAATTTTGAGAGGTCTGCATGTTCAGAGAAAAGAGGGAGGGGAGCTGTGTGGCTGTCGGTACAGCCTCAAACATAAATCGAATGGATTGACCTGACACAGCCAAGGCCCACTGCTGTTAAGCCATGCTCCGGTGGGACATTGTAAAAAATAAAATAAATAAATGAATAAAATACACATGCAGATTTAATGTCACAAATGCCAGCTCCAAGCATGATTCAACTTGAAGCCTGACACCAGTATTTACTGTTTCCCATCTCCTCATGCCCTCCTCCTCCTATTAATTTGTTTGTCCCTCTGCATAGCACTCAATTTTCATCTTGTTTCTCTCCCCATGCAGTTCGAGAGGAACGATCCTGTGAACGGCAGAATCACCGAGAGACAGTTTGGGGGCATGCTGCTGGCCTATAGCGGCGTTCAGTCTCGTAAACTCAAGCAGATGCAGAAGGGCTTGAAGAAGATGTTTAAGGATGCACAGGTAGATAAATCTGTGTTCTTCTCCATGCTTTCATACAACTCTGTGATAAGGGATTGGTGCTCTGTTATATGTGGTGCTACATTTGGTGGTGTGAGTGTTTTAAGTAATTGGCCTACATGCAAGGATGTGTGACAGACGGTGTGTGCGCCTGAGGGAAAGGGAGATTGTGCTGGGACATTGTGAGTGGGGATGAGCGATAATACATCACAGGGAGAGGACAGCACATTTGGAGCCCGACGTTATCCACCTGACCGACTCTTACTCTCTCTACCTTCCTCTATCTCTGTGGTGACCAAATACAGAGCAGCCAGTGCTGAGCAGAAGGGCATAGTTAGTCCTCCATCTCTCTTTGAGCTTCTACATAATTATTTTCTCCATCAGTGTCACAGCCTCACTCTCTCTGTTTCCGATTTTATCTTCCTCGTTTGCTATTCTATCAATCAACAACTCCTCATTCAGTTTATTTCAGACACAGCCGTCATGCAGGGTTTCTTACAAAATAGAGTTTTGACTCTGCTTCGCCGAGACAGTTTTTCACCAAACACCATCACATTGCTCTGAGCAAGTAAAATAGCTCCACTGGGATTAGACCAAACAGGGGAAAATGTAAAAATATTCAAAATGTAGAAAGCTTGAAGCCAACTCCAGTGTATACACCCATCCCTCTCCTATTTCTGCTGCTTTGCATGAACTTTGGTTTCAAGCTGGGTCTGCCTCACTGTAATAAACCCCATCAGTCAGTTGACTGAAGATACGTCCATACATATCCTATCCCCGGAGGTGTTGCAGCAAAATATGTCCCATTTGGTTTCTTTTGGTTTCTTTTTTTTTCTTTGTTTATATTTATTTTTATTTTTTTAAGTAAGTACACATAATAGCCTGTTGGAGTACATTAAAGCACCACAGATGTCAGACTGAGCTACGATAAGGCAAGTTTGATGGCTAAATGCAGTGATTAGCGGAGAAAATAAAACTGAAAGCAGGGAAGCTGCTGTTCCTCCAAGGCATGAGAAAAAGATGAGGCTGGGTGCTGCCAGAGTTGTGTCTCTCTGAGGAATTAAACTGCAGTAAGAACCTCTCTCTCTTCCTTTTTCCCATCCCGTTCTCAGTGTCTCAGCACTGGCATAACCTGTAATGTAAATGAGAAAAGTGTTATTTACTGCCTAAGACCAGCTGTTTGCGTTTCTATGCAAATGAGCTCATCAGCAGTGTGGCAGCTGTGTGTCTCTGCGTCTGTTTATATGTGTACACCTGCATGTGTGTCTTAGGCCGTCTGTTTCCCTTTCCATCCGTGGCACACTGTTCACCCATGTGTGTCCACTGCTTCTGTCCACTCCTACTTCCTCTTGTCGTTTGTGTCACACCGCTGAGCTGCTCCCAAAATGGCCCTGTGCAGTCGCAGCTCTTGTCGTGACAATTCTTGGCTGATTTGTCACAGGAAAGCAGTGTGCTAGTGGCTCCGGCAAAACTGCAGGAAGGCTTTGTTCCTGATTTATCCCAGACTTTTGATATATTTTCTTTTGTTCCTATTTTGTGCAGGGCATCACATTTGAGGAGGTGGAGAATTTCTTCACTTTCCTAAAGAACGTGAATGACGTGGACACAGCCCTGAGTTTCTACCACATGGCTGGAGCCTCCATAGACAAAGGTACACCCACATTTGACCTTTTCCTCTGACATTCTCTCTTTCCTCCTAATTACTCTTTAGACTTAACTGTTGTCACTTTCATCCACTGTCTCTCAGAGCTGTTGACACTCAGCCAGCCAGATCCGCTTCCCACATCTCTTTTGGCCTGGCTTTGCTCCCGGTCCTTGCTCAGCCATTTGTAATTGCTTTGTCCATCCATCCATTTCTCTGCCACCTCTTCCTCCAGATCATGGACACGCACACATGATAGATCACTTCCTACGTGACCGTAAAAGGCTTCTGATGCCCGCTGACACATGCCAGCATCATTACTGGGGGAGGGAGAGGAGGGTTGGGACTGGGATGACCCGTCATTACATGGTTCAGTCTAAGCACTGGAAGGGTGTATTTCATCTGTGAGCCGATGACTGGAGGTTGAACCAACATTTCCACGTTCAGAGAGTAATGCGTGCGATTTTCTTCACAATAAAAGCCACCTCTTGTTCAACCAGTTGAATGCTTTTAGTGTGAAGCAGGGGGATTTAGTGGCATTGCAAATCCCGAAACATCCAAAAAACTGCAAAGTCCGTATCTAGAGCCAGTGTTTGGTTTGTCGCTTCCAGGCTACTGTAGAAACATGGCAGTTCAATATGGCAGACTCATTCAAAAGTAACAAAAACACAACAATTCTTATATTTAGGTGATTATACACTAATAAAAACATACATTTGCATATTATATTCCATTTTGGACAATAGATCCTTCTGAATGTTGCACACTGGACCTTTAATACAGCTCTGACAAACTATAAAGAGAGTGAACAATGAATGGCAGACCATTAATAGTATCGTAAACAGGGTTTAAGAGACTTGGCTGTAGTTCTGAAGAATGTGTCTACAATGGTTATTCCAGAAGCGATATTACCAAGTGTCCATTCAGTCATTAAATTAGTCTTCTTTCCTTTATCTTCCTCAGCACATTCATTTACTGAATTCATTTGTCTGTCAGATCCTAACAATGAAAGTCAATTTAATATGACAGCAGCACAGAAAGCGAGGACCTGTAGCTTTAATAATGTGGTAATTGTTTGATGAGTCGATGTTTTCTTCATTTATTGCAATGATTCAGATATTCAGTAGGCCTCCATATGCTTTCTGTCAGTACATCCATTAGTTCCGATTCACTGATGAAACAACAGCTGCTTTAACGGAGTGCATGGTCGATCTTGAGCTGCTTGTTTCCCAGCATATGGTTTCAGCTGAACGTATAGCCGTCTAACAAGCCCGCATGTGTGTGTGTGTGTGCGTGTCAGGCTGCTGTGGGATCTTGGAGAGCTGCCAGGCATACGTCCGCAAATTATCTCCGTCCACCCGTCAACCGGGCAGTGACACCGTCTTCCTACTCTTCAAGCCTCAAGGAGCTCTTATATTTCTCTCTTGTCTTTTACATCTTTGTTTCCCTATTTCCTTTCTTTTCCTCTCGCTCTCGAGTCCGATGATTTCACACCTTTTTTCAGTACAGTTTCTCATACGTGGGTGTGTTATCTGGAACGGCACATTGGATTGTATTAAGGTAGAAAAGATGGTCACTAATTAGGTTCTTGGTGGAGTGATTCAGCTGTTTTTTAGGGTTTTTTTTTTGTCTGGCCATTTGCAGGGAGATTTAAGAGACATTCTTTTTATCCGAGCACTCTCCTCTTTCTCATACTTCAGTTTCTCTTTCACTCCTCCTCTTGTGTGCCCTTTGAAGTCTTATAATCAATCATTCTGGTTGAGACGGAGAAGTTTTTCATCACTTTATGATCTATTTGTTTTTCTGAAATGACCCTGAGGCTTTTTTTTTTTTCTGTCTCCATTTCCCTCTCTTCACCTCTCTACACCTCCATCCCCCTCTTGCCTTCCATCGTTTCCTCGTTCCTCCCAACCAGCCTCATTCTCAGCTAGATGTCCTGATGCTGTCTGCTCTTCCTCTCAGCCCTTTCTTTCTCTTTCTCGTGTCTATCAGATAGTCTCCCCGGTGAATGGGAGCCCTGCCTGCTATCGATCGTGAGCAGTTTGGCTTGCACACAGTGTCCTCCACATGGGCCATTTATGAGCTGGCTTGTGCGACTCGCACCTCTATTACTCTATCTCACAAATGGTGAATCTCTCTGTCTGTGCTTCCCCCCCCCCTCTGTCTCTCAGTTACCATGAAGCAGGTGGCTCGTACTGTGGCCAAAGTGGAGCTGTCAGATCACGTGTGTGACGTGGTGTTCGCTCTGTTCGACTGCGACGGTAAGTGCCCGGCTACTCCATCATGACTCCTCTCTGCAAATATTTATGGAAGGCAAATGATGTCTCCGCGGACAGCTGGAAATGATCAACAAATGGAAGTCATCTCCTCCTCTTACTTATTCTTCCTCTATTATTTCATCATCTCTCTCCCTGTCTGTCTTCCTCAGGGAACGGAGAGCTTAGTAATAAGGAGTTCATAGCCATTATGAAGCAGCGGCTGATGCGTGGGCTGGAGAAACCCAAAGACATGGGTTTCACTCGGCTGGTGCGCGCCATGTGGAAGTGTGCCCAGGATACCGCCTGGGACTTTGCCACACCAAAGACATAATGGGGACAAGAAGGCGACGTGTGAGCGGGAAAGAAGAGGCACACGTGTGAAAAAAGCAACACCACCAGTAGCATCAAAGACGTTCTTCATCAACAGGTCTCGAGAATTTAAATTGCCAATTAAATGCAATGAAGTCATTTGGACTGCAGCTCTTGAGTGGCATCATCAGTCATTAACGCATGTCGCTGTATTTCAAGCTTTCAATATAGTGACTGAAGCATGCTGACACAGCGCAGTGTATCCTGAAAGGCTTCTCTAGCGTACCAGTCCAAGGCATCATGGGTATTTGTATATTTTAAAATATGCAAAGTTTGTATGTTTTTTTTGCCATATTCTATAGAGGAATGCAGTGTCAGCAGGTGACTGTGACCCTCTGTCAAACGCTAAAAACGGCACTTTAATATCCGTATGTTTTACTGCAAAGAGCAAGTAAGTAGAATCAATCTTATTTGACCTTCAGCTGTATAAATGCCGCAGTATGTCTGTTCTATACCGACAACAGACCCTTAGTTATTCCTTTGGTGGGACAGAGAGAAGACTGTAATCTTGTTAGCGTCTCACCATTCAGTCTGCTAGCTCCAGCTGCATCTTTACTCTTATTCTGTTTCCATAAAAGATCAATGATGCGTGTCCTGCTCTACAATGTACTGTTCAAAGTGTGTATTCTTATTATTGCTCACTGAAACACTTTATATAAGATGGATGTTGAAAGAAATGCTCTATTAAAGATGTTTTTAATAATGAAAAACTGATTAAGCTTTATTTCTGAACGTGAGTGCGTCATGCTTGACTTATGAGTTGGATTGTTGTCCTGCCTTGTTCTCATTTTCACTCTTTGACTCTATGAAAAGCGCAGTGGGGGATTAGTGAGACTAATCTACGGGGCGCTGTGGAAGTCATTTGTCATGTGTAATGAAATGGGGTGTAAAATATTTAGCAAAAAAAATGCATGGCTGATTGTATCCAGTGGCTTTGTTTGAATGTGTGCCAGAGGAAGAAAAAGATGGTCGTCTATTGTGTTGTGTGTGTGTGTGTGTGTGTGTGTGTGTGTGTGTGTGTGTGTGTGTGTGTGCGTGTGCAAGAGCAGTCAGCAGTTTTGTCTAATTGAAATGGACAGGATGGGCAGTCCTCGGCCTCTGCTGCCCATTAAAAGATTGTCCTGCAGCCCCTTCATACAAATACCGTGCTGCATTGGCCTGAAACGAGCTCGCTTGCTCTCTTGCACACATTGCGGCTGACAGACAGAAGTGGTACTCAGGATGTGATTGCTAGGCAGCAGATTCGGTTGAAGGGCCCCTCATCAGTATTCCTCAGCTGTGGTTGTTTCCAGAGTTTAAAGTCTGGCATTACAATCACTTTGAACCTAAAATGATTTTTAAAAGAATGCCCACATCCTTGCTGTTGAATCAAAATGTTGTTTAAACATAAAGTGTCTCTCCTGTGAAAACCACGTATCTCCAAAAACATCAACTATTCATAAAAGGAAAACTGTGAAAAATCACGTTTTTTTTATAGATAATGCAGCTGAGTTTTAAATGGTTTGTTTAGCCTAAGACGTAGGGGAACTTACTCATACCCATAATCCTTTCAGTTGTTTAGAAATAAAAATCACACAAATTGAAGATAAATGCTTTTCCTTCAACATAACTAGGGTTATAACAGTCAAGGGTTGTGTATTGCCAAGAAGCTGCCAGTGCGATATGTATCACAATACAGGGGTTATGAATAAATATATTGTGATACTGTAAGCAAGACAATATATTGAGATTCTTTTTTTAAATCTAATTTTAGGAAAACTGTCATAGTATAAGGAACACACCTTATGCATAATATCTGGGTCAGAATAGTTTGATCTGCATTTGTATGTATCACAGTCCCTGTAATATCCAATATCATGGAAAAACATAGTGAATGTTTGCAAGCAAATTCTTAATTAAAAATCAATAGTGTTTTTGAAAATGGATACAGTATTACAAAACAGTGTACGATTGATATTTCTCTTACACCCCTATAAAAGCAATTTATGTATTTTATATATATTTAAACTCCTTTTTTTTAGTTAACTGATTAATTGTTTAGTATGAAAACTGCAGTCAATTTGCTTGTTCTATCCAACCAACCAACCAATAAACCAATTGATTAATAGTTTTCAAAGCAAAACACTGGTCTCTTCTGCTTTCAGATCCTAAAGGCTCCTGTGGCTTTTACATGGCTTCATAGTCCAGAGACAATGTGTCCAGCAACATTGCCTCCTAGCTGCATCCCAGCCTCTTGACAACAGTATCAAAACTGAAATATGTAAACCTCAGGCAAGCACGCTCTGTTACATTTCCCTGCTTGGTGAGCACTGAAGCAACACTCAATGGTTGACTGTTGTCAGACTCGGTAAGGGCTACAGTGGCGCGCCCAGACTGTCTGAGGGGAAGAAACGAAACAAAATAAAAAGGCCACCAGCATGGTGCATTTATGGTCAAAATCAAACCCTGGTTAAGATGAAAATTGTTTTATTTTGGGAGGCGGATTTAAAGTATAACTACTACATCTCTGTAAACACACAAAGAACTATTCAACCAACAATATTTCTAGAACAAAAAAACAAGTTAATTAAGAAGTTGTATTTCTTGTGAGGTAAAAATGCTCTAAATGTGAAGGATCCCTAATTATCAATTATTTTTCATAATCTGAGCACAGTGGGCTTTGAAGTCTGCCACTTAAGGGACCTTAGGATTAGTAGTATTATATTGCATCTTAACAACACAATAGCCTAAAATAGGTGTTTACATTTCAGTTTTAATAAAATTTCGGTGTTGGTAAAAAGTTTGGGCACCCCTGATTTAGAGGCATGGAGAGGCCAACTCATTTTCTGTTCTGAAGAGCAGCTTATATGGCACTGCATCACATTGTCTTGCACACGGGGGCCACCATAGAGGGCGCTTTATCATGTTTTATCTACCATAGGGGCTTTTCTTCCAAACATAAGGGCACCCACCAGTAAACAGGTAAGAAGAGTAGCCAATAAAATGTCTCCATAGTTAAATATGGACTTAACCACTGATTGTATATGATTACTTCTTACTAATAAATGTGACTGATCGGATGAAAGGTATCCAGGTGAGATGTGATTGTTAATAGACATGTTCTTAAAATGGACCTGGACCTTCCACGGTTGCTATGTGCCCTATCCAGGGCTGTCATTTAGACATAAACAACCTTTCTAATGGTCAGAAAGAAAAACACTGATTTCTACTTTCACTTGACGATTTCTCTGAAAAAGAAACATCAACCCGTGACTCTTTACACAAGGACCTTTACTTAAGACCTACTGTCACTGACAAAAGGACCTATGAAACTCTTGTTTTATATGTATTTTTGCCTTTAAGACTTTCCGGACCCCCAAAATTAACTGATATAACTTTAGCTAACTCCCAATAATTGCAATATTCTCAATTGTCAGTGTAATAATAAAGTCTAATGAAATTAGACTGTTGAAACAAAGTTGAGAAAACCAAAAAATATATACTTTTTGGGTTTGTTAATAGTTCTTCTTCCCAAAATCTGCTTAACAAACAGGCATGCTGAGAAATAAAAATAATGTTTAACAGTTATAGTTATATATTTTTAACTTGGTGATATAACTAAGCCATAAGTCATGCAAGCAGTGACAATAGAATTGTATCCTTCTTATTGTAATGGCTTTAATGCTCATAATTAACTTTTTTTTTAAATATGAGGGATATTCATAATTTATGTTTACTTTACACAAAATATAGCTCAAACACAGGGTGAGCAGCACAGAGCTGTGAAACAACAGCAAAAAGAGGTTTTTCTAGACAAAGTGCCAACTTTAATATTGGGCTGACATGACAAACTGTTTCCATTAATTAATTTAAGGGTTGTGGTCATATATACATATTATTATTATA